TCAAATGAGACAGTGCGCACTCACTGCGACAGTATCGCGCGGATATCCCAGGCTATCCAAGAAAGACGACTGGGGTGATATGGGTACGTTCCCTGTCGTCCGCCTCACGAGTTTTGCTACGCTGCCCTCGATCCGGCGTCGCAGCCCACCTGGAGGCGTCAAAGAGGTAGATAACTCAAGACCTGGCTGGACAGCATACGTCAAGACAAGGAAGCGGTTCTTGGACCTTCGATTTTCGGTCCCCGTCGCTGCAGAAGAGCATGGGTGAAGCTTTCCAGATCCGCTGCCGCCAGTCGTCACGCGTGGATAGGTACCGTCCATGAAGTCATTGAGGCCGGCTAGATCAAGCATGATCACAGCCGTAAGAAGTACAGTTGCAAATTCCACCGGCGCTTTTGAGAGTGAAGATTGTGGTACAGCTTCACGTCTACCGGCCTTTGTGCCCTCACCATTGTGTCCTACTGGTGGTCTACCGCGCCGTCCACAATGGAAATCGTAGGCTGACATAGAGGATTCTGTCGCAGAAAAGATTTTATTTGCATAGTAGATCCTTGGTTGGCTTTACAGCACCCCTACAGAATTCTGCGAGACATGATAATGGTGGGTTACAAGCATCGTAAGCAAAATCAAAAACTCGCAAATTCTTGCGTGCAGGAATATTCGGTGTTCTTTTAAAAATTCATTGAATCCAATTGTTAAAATATCGGCGATCTTGGTGGCATTCGAAGTCACACCAGCAAGGGGAAGGCTTGATTACAACCAATGCTCTAGTCAACTGAGCTATGAGGCCCCTCCACTGGAGCCTGAGTTTAATCACATTTGGGTCAATTTACCCGCTCAGCCTGTTACAGCACATAAAATCCACCAATTCTAATACAATAGGTTGACTTTTCAAACCGAATTTATTAGACAACCAAATGAATTATTGAAATCTGCCAAGCCCTTCCTAGTACTTAAGGGTACCTAGTAGTCACCTGATGAAGTCTCTATCAATTGCTTAAGAAATCCTGCCTGGGCATTTAGCTTACTGTGTAAGGATTGGTGGACTTCATACACTGCACTAGACTGGACGGGTAAATCAACCCAAGTGTGCTTAAACTTACTATCGAGATCATGCTCACACGATCTAGGTCGACCTTCCCGTAGATGCTGTTGAAACGAGGTTTTCGTGGTGGGAACGGCTCTAAAGGCAATCGGTGAGGTGATTCCGACAAAAGCCTATCCAACACAGGAACCTAAGGGGCAAACAGTCTCTGTGTGTATGTATGTGTGTGTGAAGTGGTTTAAAGATGACACTGAAGGCGAAGAGCACCATTATGTGCTCTAGGCAAGTGTTTATTTGGTTTTAAACGAGTACTTTCAAAGTGCTTTGGCTTGCTGACAATCAAATACAGTAAATTCCTTAACTCATGAAATCTCAACCGACAAACTGCAATGTGTTTTTGATTCAAACATATTAATTAATTATGGTTGCAATAATGCTTATCATAAATTTTAAATTTTATACACAAAGAAAGGGTATCTTATGACTTAAAAAAAGTGTCTTAATTGCCGAATAATTTTGGAACCTACCTGCCGCTACACTTGAATTCAAGGTCTCCAAACTATATGCTGTATATTCCCTCTAAGGAAAAGTAAGCATTTCTATGGTGTAAGGAAGAAGTCACATAGTTCTTTTAAAATTTTGCCATGGACGTGGACTACGTTGTATAATATATAAACAGCACTAATAAATAAACAGATGTGTTGCTTTACGACTGCACATTTCACGGTCGCAGAAAAATCGCATAATTAGACACTTTTAAAACGAAAAGATACCCGTTCCTCAAGCATAACATTTGAAGAAGGCGTAATCAACTACCAAACGAGTACAAGAAAGAACATTTCTGTTTATGTTTTATACAACATATATTTGAATTGATAAGTCGGTGAAATTCAATGAGAAAATGCATACCACTTAAGTAGTCATTTTTGCAGAATATAATTTGTGGGGGCGGTCAAAAGGATGCTCGTCTAAAGTGTGCTGTCCTCTAACTGCGCGCATTTTTTCATTCAGAAAATGCCCCACTTTTGGCCTTACCATCCA